CCGGGAGTTCTTGGCATTTCGCCCGGAGCCCGACCGTGGCCCAAAGTCTGCCGATCCTCACAATACATCTCCTGCGATTACTGGTGTCCCAGAACAGATAACGGGGACGTTATCTCTCTATTGGGAAAAAGCCTGGCTCGTGGATCACCAATAATGTTTTCGGAGTCGAGTGATGGGTCGCTCTCCGGCTACCGCTCATCGGTCGGTGATTTTGGGGAGAGGAAGGACTGAAATCGGAATTGCCCGACGGGATGACCCTCATCAACAGATCCAATCCCTAGATAGGGATTCCTCGATACCACGCTGTCGGGAACGGCACAGGGCAGAGACCTTCTGGTCGAGAAGAACTTTGCAGACACTTCAAATCGAGTCGATGCATGCTCGTCTCCCGATCGACATGGAGCCCTGGATGATCGCTTCGGGGATAGCCCGGAGAGTTGCCCTTAATCATCGTCCTCGACTGTCGACCTAAGGATATATCCTCCTCGATGGAGCACTGAAAAAGAATGTCTCGAGAACGACTTCACGAGTTAGGTGTACCTCGATGACCCGACCAGACGGAAGTTTGGGTCAATGCTCCTCGGCATGTCGAGTCTCACAGATATTATTCGGCTGACGTCCGCCTGGAGCAGCGACTACGTCGACAGAAACAACCTAGAGTAGCTTGTTCGCTGTCCGACTCAGTCGAAAACTTGCGTCGACTCGGATTGTGATACCCGGCTATCGCGTCTTCGGCACACGACCCTTCCCGGGGCGGCGGAATTCAGTAGACGAGATTCCCGCTTTAAGTCTTGTCGTCGTGAGGCTCCGAGCGCTCGTGCGCCCACAGCTCGGCCGCCCTCGTGCCATTCAGTAGCATTCATGTGAGAATCACAATTGACTACCCTTTCCATCAGCAGAGGTCCGCCGTATTTGCATCGTGACCGCTTGCTTATGACTCACGGGACGCAATTATCGATTTCATGGAGTCGCCTCGATCTCCATCTTCGTCGAGCCTCTGGAGTCGAGATCGAGATTCCCTCTTCCATAGAGCACGTTGACTTTGTCTCGAAATTCTCATCCTCCGGCGCCACTCCGCCCCAATGTTATTTTCGGACAGTCTTGGAATCATGACGGGAATTCAGAGCGTGATGTTCTGCGCCGTCCAGGAGCAGAATAACTTCGCGTCGGTCGGGGGTCTCCGAGCGAGACTTCAATTTCTATGGGAGAGCCCTCGCGACGAATACCCTCCTCGATCGTTCGCTCCCGATACCAATGAGCTCAACACACTTCCTTGTTTGCATCGCTATGCGGGAATGATATATCTCCAGAGTTTTCTTTGAAACTCCATATCTCACATCGCGTCTTTCTTCGAGCCCAGCCGAGAAGCTGGACGGATGAATTTTTCGGAATAGAAAAATCGAATTTTTATGTACACTCTTTCTACACACAATCATTTGTGACCACCTTCGTCTAATGCACTCTTCAACTCGATGATTAATTGATAGATAGAGGTTGGAGAAATATGTACATGACTCGCATGGGCGAACTAGTTCGTTCGATACAGTTTCGACCGTTCGATGTTGCTGCTAATAGCTACGCTTACGATATCGGCTCCGAGGAAGAAATCCGTCGCGACGATATTTGCACAGGTTCGGAACTCCCTACGGAACCACCTCGCCACAAGGGGATTAGTCTCATCGGCCATTTTTCGCAGGCCTCCTTTATGGCCTTCGAAAATGATGTTGACCACGTTCGGCGTCAGCTCAGCCATGGCAGCATGGAAATAGTAGAGACCGTATTTCTCGGCCTCACAGACCTTCTTGTCGAAATACGTTTTGAGGCTTTTTTGGTTATTGGTGTCTGCCCACAAGTGGCGCACTCCCAAGTGCAGGGATTGGTTTACCGAGAACAGCCTGGCGTTGTAACAGATCACGATGCGTCCCTTGCCGTCGTCCATCTGCCAGATGTGTGATAGGGGTCGATCCAACGCCGAGTTGTACGGCACGACCGTTTCGCCGAGCTCTACTCGAAGGAACTCCAGGAAACGTTGATGCGAATGTTCGTTATCGAATCCATTCGGGAACCGGTGGAAATCCAGAATGACGATTTCATTCGTTGCCTAGAACAAGGGAAGCCATAAGGTCGGATAATGAAGCTTCGAATGAACGCACTGCGCATGCTGTTTTCGGTCCGCGGGAATTATCCGCTCGCCCTATCTCGTGGAGATTTGGAGATGAGAGTGATGCTCAAGTCGCGAATTGCTCACCCTGATGAAATCTTTGACTTGCTGCAGTACTTCGACTACGCTGGCGTCACCTGAAAGCACGTCGTGCGCTATTCTGTACTTCGGGTTGTCAACAGGCCCCGAAGCCGATATTCGCAGGTCCAGGCAACGGATTCCGTAGGCGAGCTGGTTGAAAATATCTTCCTCTTGAGTGTATTTGAAATCTGCCATGACACGGAGCGCTCTCGGGTTGTAGAACGAGTACATTCCAGAGTTGTGTGTACCTGGAAGAAATTTATGGGAGTGATCAAAGACTCCCGATGTAGAACCTACGCTATTCGCGAGCAAGATTTGGGAGCAACGGCGATAGGTGTAAACTAGTCCCGCGACGATATTAGCTCGCTAGATAGAAAACCTACCCGGAATCATCATCTGTCGTAGCGTGAGATGCTTGAGCGAGTGTTTATTCTTCCACATCCAGAAAGGTTGCGCCTTGAAGCAATTTTGTGCAACCATCGTTCGCTGGCGCACTCCGTTCGTGAGGTACTCGACGCGAACTAACGCAACCCAGTACTCCATGCATTCATCGTGCATATGGCTTTTATTGAAGATCACCCTGCGTGGAGGTGAATCGATTAGGGCAATACTCCGAGCATAATAATTATTCGAGATCGATCACAGGGTGAATATTAATTTCTCCGCCAGAGATGCACCTCGGGAAAATGAGATGGGTGGTGACTTGGCCGTCGGAATTAAATCCGAGATCCTTCTTGTAAACAGCGTCTTCGTCGATCCGAAACAGCCCCGCAGGTCTTCGCAGTAAATACAGTGTGTGGTTTTGCGTGGAGTCTGGTCCCACGTCTATGTTGAACCAGTTCAATTGAACTCGTCGTTCTGCGAGACCATTTCTTCCGCCTTTCAAGACTCGAGCAGATAAGGTAATGAAGACTTCCGGTTCGGGCTCTGGAAACATGTACAGATAAATCGATCAATTGGATAGGAAACGTAATTACTCGAGCCGTATGTACTTCCAATGGACATTCATTCCGCGGAGTCCAACGTGCACCAGTCGACTTCATTCCCTTGGCGGAAAGTCTCCCGGGGAACGAGAGAATGGTTCCGATCGAAGAGTCTAAAAACGAAATTCTGCTCCCTCCCGAGACTATCCTGATTGAGCGGTCGCCCCAGGCAGTCCGCGAGTGCGACCGCGGTCGACCTTTGACGTTGGCTGAGGAATTGCGGACACTCAAATAATCCCCAGACTGCTCGTAACCCATCCAATGCCGGCTCGAAGTCGATGACACTCCTCAGAGGAGGAAGCGAAGCTCTCTAAAAGCGTCCCGCGTCGTTTTTCATTCGGAATCCAAGCTCGTCCGAGTTTCGCGCAATCGAATAGAATCCACGAATATCTCGTTCCCTCGTGTCACCACCCTCCCAGTGTCCCAGAAGATTCGCGGATCCGATACTGGAACCGCTGGATCAGCGTGCGGCAGCCAACGATACGGGTCATCTACTGTGCTTTGGCACTCCTCTTTCTCCAACGGCGATCGATAGCGTTAGGTGACGTATGCGATCATCGACCGCGGACCCGTTAGAACAAACGGTCGGTGTGAGGCCGGCTTGACACTTAAGCCGGTTGGCATCGTCCGTCCCTGTGACAAAGAAGCGGCCGTCTGGAACTCCGACGTTCCAGAGCCAAGGGGTCAGTAAACTGCAAAACCGCGCTCTTCTGATCCCTTCCAACGTTTTTCTGGCTTGGAACAAGAAGAGGGAAGAGCTCGGAATGGGAGGCATACGGAAACTTTTTAACACGTTTTCCAAGAATTCCAGGCACACGGTATCTCTTCATAAGTACTTCGTTTCAGTGTCAATGCCCGGAACCGCTGTAAGGACCCGGATGACTAACAATAAGTCGACTCTCCCGTTGCGAACCCGATTTCGTCGTTCGCGGGAATCGGGTGCGCAATTATTGGCTGTCCGTTTCTCAGATACGACCTCGTCCGTAAACGAGACGCCGTAAAAAGGCTCAGCGTTCCTTGGAGGGACCCTGGAGCGACTTTTGTCCTGAAGAAACAGTTCCCCGAATCGGAGCACCACTCCCGGGAGAGGAATTTTCGAGCCCCGAGCTGGTCAGACTTATGATGAGCGCGAGGACGAGGAGAGGATTCTTCGAGATTTTGCGACGGCGGCGTTCGAATCTGCGTTAGCAGAGCGCTCTGGAAAGTCTTATTTCGATGGTGTGGCCGCAAAGCACCGCGGTCACTTTTATCAGAGCGCTTCGCGAACAAAAGACTTTCTCCGCGGCGTTCACTGTCCGTTGCGATGGAAATCAAAGTGGAATAGTGTGCCGACTTCCAGAATTCTCAGAATTTAATGCCGTTGCTCCGAGAAGAGAACACAGGGACCCGCTTACGGCGGATTGTGCCGGAAAAGATTTCGATATCTTCACCGAATGCCTCTCTCGAAGGGAAGCGAATTTTATCTTATAATGTAATCAAATCGAGATCGCTTACCCAAATTGGCCAGATTATACTCCTCCCGATAATCGAAAGGGTCGTAAGCGCGGATGAGCGGGAGCAAACTTAGAGTGGCGAGTATCCGAAAGCTCCAGATTGGCATCCTGGCAGTGTTCAAATGGGTAGGGCATACATCACAGCGCTGCAATAGAATCGAGATCTCCTACTCTCCCCAGGCTCTCTTCCTGCGAGGAATTAAGGGGAGCAGCGAACATTCCGAGAAGAATTTGAGAACATGGGTAGCAATGTGCACCAACACGGCATCCGTGAACGTCGACTGATGCTCCTTGTTCCGGAAGTCATGGGTGACCTGGTGAAATGACGCCGGGAACTCCTTGGAATAAACGCCGCACAATCACTCGGGGAACACAACACGTGCACGGAACACTCAACCACGGTCCTCTCCAGATCAGCAGAGCGTGCTAGACTCGTTTCTTCGGGACATGCGAAACAGTTTTCGCGCAGACTAATATCTGGAGACGAAGAAAAAAATATTCCTCCACCTCGAATTCTCTCGACGAGCTGGGCACTATCGCGGAAGATACACAATTTTCACTTCCAGCCGTAAAAGAGTGGAGCCCCGGGAACCTCGTGGAGCCGAAAGAGCGCCTTGCGGTCGAAACTTTCAGAGTTCCGGAAAACTCACCCGGGTGCTTGGTGTGCGTGGAACTGTTTCAATCACTATGTGTGTGATTCTGAGACTTCTTATTGTTGTAACCCTTCCCGTCGTGGAATCTCCTTCTTCTGGGAGAAGGCTGCCTACCGGCACCGTTGTGACGTAACGGTCACAAGTCTAACGCCCGCCGGGCGCGGGTGGTGTTTCCCAGAGCGTCGAACGGTGCGCTGAGGTCCGAAGTTCCAGGTGTCTCCTCACTGTTTCTGGAATCAATGCCCGCGATGAGTCAGATCACGGCGGTGACACGTGAGTATATTCCTCATCGACGTCGCTCGTGGTAATTACGGCTTATGGAAAAATTCGAGTTACGAGAGGGTCGTAACGCGAACCCGAGCAGAAATCGAATCAGAGAATCCATTCCATTACCTAACAGAAGTAGATGAGCTCTGTGTAGCGGTAGGTTCTTCTTCTATTCGTTTTTTTGCACCACTCGATGGTGCAAAATGCCAGACTCTGGCGCGAAGATGACGATGTCGGATACGTACGGCCAGATACTGGCGGAGAAATTCAGCTCGGGTGAGGATGTGACGTTTTCCAGCGTCACGAACACTACCTAAAATCGAGGGAGACTCTCGATGTCCGTCTGGAACTGTTGGATAGCCGTCACTGGCTTCCGTTTTCCGAAGACATTTCCATGAAGATTGCTGTTATGAGCGAAACGTCTCGCTGCCGCTTAGCTACGCCTTCGCCCAACCAATTAGGAGCGGAGTTACGAAGACCGAGACTTATTGAATTAATCCACTGATTGTCTCCTCGTATCCACGCTTCCGCTAGAGCTTTATACCATTACGATAATCTTCTGAGTGAACGGGACTCGTCAGGTACGGCCCCGGCAGAGCCTCGTGCCAACGTTTCACAACACTTTGGCTTCGTTGGCCGAGAGCCTCCGGTCGCGAGGGTATCGCGAGCTCTCGAAAATAGAATGCCTGCCGGATAAATTGTGAGAGGCGATGACATCCGAAAGGAGAACAACGTAAAATAGATGTTTGTCTCATGCAAACTTCCAACATTGTGGTTGCTTCTCCCAAACGCCTTTTGGGCTAAGTTTCGACCATCGCAGAAGAGCATCCGCCAAGCGAGGATGTAATACGTTCGATTGCGGCGCACACTCGTCGCTCGCTGAGCACCGCTATTTGAGCAGCTTCGAGCAATTGCTCCCTTCATTGGCAGGAGCGCCCTTCCCTCTTTGCAACGACCCAGCTGCCGAGCGAGTCCCCGGCCGGCCTCTCATCGAAATGCAGTTGGCGCTGTTATCTAAACGAAGTCAAATCAGTCTCCTTTTCAGAGCTGATCTCCTCTCGAGTGTGTTTCCGGAGCCTGGAGATGGAACTTTTTTTCCCTTCAGGATCGGTATTCAATGCGTGCGTCCGAAGAGTCCAACGATTTCTCTTGCATGTTAGCAATCTCATCTGGAGAGGAGCAATCTCCCGAGGGGAACCCGGGCGAACCCGCGAACCACGTTATTCCTCCTCCTCTTGCTCCGATATATTCTCATGATGAAGAGGAGATAGTTTTCTTGCCTTCAGCTCACGAGTTCGGCGTGTTGCATTCAGACAACGGTCACGACTCACCCCAGAGCATCAGCTACGGCTGCGTTGGTCAACATCCATTCACAACATGGTGCCGTATGGACGGACCTACTTCACACATGATTTCCGGAAAATATCGGGACAATTTCAGACGCTCAGCTCCTCACGACACTATTTCTATCGCTGAAACTTACACAGAATGAAGGTTAAAAGCTCGTGCGGCTCCGTCGATGCTGAGCTGGCACCGTACGGCTTCGGAGAGGCTACGGTGACGGCTCTTGATTAACGCATCCTCCACTTCCTCCGTCAGTGACCTGACGCTACACGGATTTGTCGGATATATCAATGCTTTCACGACTCGATACACTCAACACCGAACATGATTGCTCCCAGTCAGTAGTAACGCTGGTGCCTGTGGAGATTTCCCCCAGAATCACCGATTCCGACGCTGAAAGGAACGCAGAGGAGCTGAGAACGGACCCATGCTTTTGAAGCCATGCGTGAGACCGTGTTGCCCCGCAGTATCGGCGATTCGGCTCGCCCCAGAGAACACTGTGATGCTCGAACAAATGTCGTGAGAGATTCAGGGCTAATGTGAGGGGTAGATCCGCGGCCAACGGCCGGATTCCACAAACTCCCGCTCTGGCGGAATTCCTCGCGTGATTGCTTCGAGAACGCTTATTCCCGCCGACCTTTCCACAATTGGACTGAATTCCCAAAAGTCTGCGTGTCGTAGACTCTCCTCCGACGGAGTCGGAACCGCAAGTTTCGTGCGGCGATTTTTTCTCTGCGAAATCTCGCTCCTGGCAGCTCTCCACATTGATGGAATGCGAGATCATCGGAGGAAATTCGGTTCCCCGGAGACCTTGTCCTCAATGTTTTCATCTTTCTTCGCTTCCAAAATGATGTCATCAGGCTGTCGGTGAGGAATCCGACCTCAATGCATTCCAGCCCATTGAGCGCAGCGCTGTACGGTGCCACGGTGGTGACAACGGCGAAGACGGTCGCAGCGGCGCCACTACCGACCGAGGGTCTTGCCCTTGTGAGAGACGGCTGCTGCTCCGGCGGCTGCGGCGGCGGCGGCAGACCACGCTGTCGTGATCGTCTGGAGTCATTCATTGCGCAACGGTGACCCACATTCGGCTTATGACGGAGGCGAAAAAGACGTTTTCCATTCGGGCCATTTAGGTTCATCCTGAACAACTCGAGCGCGAGGGCCAGAGCCGCGTCCGCGAGTCAGTCCCCGAGCGAGTGCACACTACGCTTTGGCTTTTCAACCAAGTTCTACTTAAAGTTCGCTTGACCTCAAACGCGAGGGTCTGGACCATCTGTGGGGCTCTCCGTTCGTCGCTCACTCAGTTGGTGCGCTCCGTCGAGTTTCTTCGGAAGTGAAAAGAGTCCACAGCGCTGGAGTCAAGCGGGAAAGGAAGCGCTATAAAAGCTCCACGAGCAATGGAGAGCTTGGATTTATTGAGTACTGCGTTTCGTCGCGCATTCCGATGCGCCTCACTCAGTCAGTCAGTCATATGACCGGGGAGCTCGTAGCTGACTCGCGGATTCAAGTCTCGTTGTTCTGCGGCTCACAGTGACACATTCTAGCAGGACACTTGGGCTTCGCTTCCGCGCCCGAGTCGACGGCGGTTCGGCCGAAAATCCCTCCAATTATTGCTCCCGCGAGCGACAGAAACTCCGCGTTAATTCGTCGTAAGTCGAAAGGAGCTCATACGATATTCAGACTTTGGAGTTTTGAGCCAAGCAGCTTCGAGGGCGATGCGACTGACTTCTCGCTGGTGATCGGCCGGTGACGAGACCCGATAGGGACTCGCGTAATTTGCCTCACATGTTTCTCTCTCGATTTGAAATACTCGGATCACTATTGCCTTTTCTTATAGGCGAAGGGATATGCCAAGCCTGGGTCTTCGTGCGAGCGAATGAGAGGTCCGCAACAGTCAAGTTCGTCCAATAAGCGTTGAATCCAAGTCACGCGAGAAGCGTTGCCAAAAAACGAGTCGAAATCACAAAAATTAGTATAATGCCTGTGATCAACAAGGCTTCTGGAAGGCGCATCCCGTCGCTGAACGAACCGTTCCCAGTGACTACACTCCGGTCTGGCTGGAATAAGAAGTTGATCTTCCCAGCTGATCTCTCGCAATTATTCCTCTTTAAGAGACTTGTTTAGGACTTATCCTTGAAGCCACAACTCCCGCGAACTGCATTCCAAAGCCGCACATGCGTTCAGTTGCATCGATCGAGCTTCGCGATCACAGATCACAGGGGAAACCGCGGCTGGGCAGTCCTCGGCGAACTAACCGTCCGTGGATAACAGCCAACTCCGCCGTCGCTTCGAGCATGGATAATCGAGGCGCATCGCCAACATCTGGAAGAGGCTTGAGGCAATTTCGGCGAGCCCGGATTGTCAAAGCGGCCGTAACAATGATCGATGGGCTTTTGATCCTCCATGTCGCAGCGTGGTGTTTATTCACTCATTCATTATCCCATTAGCGCTGAGTGGAACAGGGTCAAGGTTGCCCCGACCAGCGCTCCGGAGCTCCAGTGTCCTCCGACGGTCGATGGTGGGTATGGATGCGTGAGCAAACGGGCTGAATTATACGGAGGGCGAGGGACAGAGTACGTCAGATCGAGAATGCGTCGCTCTTGGATTGCCATTTGAGAGAGGACGAAGTCGATGAAATCACGGTCGTCATCAGGACGCGATTGATAAGGCATAAGGGGAAAAAATAAAGAGACATCGAAAGTCCCGTGAGAGATTCCACAGAACGAACGCAAGGACGAGGTTCGACTAAAAATAGTCTCGACTCCCGTTGCTAATGGTCAAACAAAACGAGTCGTAGATCAGCTCGCCAACTGATCTTTATCCGGATCAGTGATATCCGGATG